CGCTGACAATATTGTGAGAGGCAAACTGTCAAAAGGGCTAGGAAACATCAACACAGGAAAGCTCATAGAAAACAACCACACTGACGTCTGGGAGATATGCAACCATCAAACAAGCATAGACAGATTTATAAAGAGATACAACAAGTCACCGATTCTCGAATTTGAATTGACAGGAGTTTATAATAATGTATTTATGAAAGCCCAAAAAGAAGAGAACGCCTTTATCAATAAGCCAAGACACATAGGCTCAAGGATTTACGCATTATCCAGATTATACATGTGGAAATTCATGATGAAATGCGAAGATTTGTATTACAGCGACACTGACTCGTTACTCATTAAAAAAGAAGAGATGCATAAATTTCCGATTGGTAAGGAATACGGTGAGCTAAAAATAGAAGACGAATCATCTAAAATAATTGTGGTCAGCCCCAAAACATACATTGTCAATAAAAAGAAAGGCCTAAAGGGGTATAAGATAGGAGACAAATGGCAGATCATGCAAGGTGACACAGTGCTGGAAGAGGGTGCGAACATCAAAGAATCGATATACGAAGCTCTGCTGGATGAGACGAAACATGTCATTACAAAATACCACAATATTCAGAAAAAGTTTGTACGAAGATCAGATACCATGTGGGAGCTGTTAACCATATCAGGCGAAAATATTGAAAAAATACTTACATAATTGAAAGATATTTTGATCTATGATTTTTCAAAAGAGCGATGGCTGACACAACTGTAATATCTACATGGACGACAGGAATACAAGATGTAAGCGCGGTTGCTGCTTTGTTAGGAACAGATCAATGTGAAAAACATCTAGACAAAATGTTATCTGGAGGCTATTTATATGGAACATCAGTTTTCATAAGCATGTTTGGAGTATTAGGCGCATCTAAATGGGGAATGAAGTTAGTGCTAGACACAACAAGACTAGAAAAAATAGGGTTTGAAAACTCGGGAGAAATAATGAAATCAATGTGGATGAAAGATGGAGAAATGTATAACGAATATATCAAATGGGTAACAAGCTCAGTATTAGGGAAATATTCATACCGAAATGACATGACAATAACTGTTGGTTTGAATTGGATAGACGAGTGGTGTATAGCGACATTTCTTCATAGCATAATATTTTCTTTACTCTCAGCTATTCCCTTCATTCCTTCATTCGTTCTAAATGACATACCAGAATGGATGATATTTTTTCCATTATTACAAATATTCTCCGGAACAATCATACCAACTTTCGGAGTTATTATCGAAATTAACAATATATTGAAGGGGTTAATAAACAAAAGAATAAATGGATCCAACACAATCGAATTTGATAAAAAATATTTTGTTACCAAAATAAATGTTTTATACCTAAAACCAATAATAGCAGTAGCTTCAATTACAAACGTAATAGCTTATGTAGGATGCTACACCATTATACAAAATTCACAAAACAACACACCTTTGATATGGTTCATATTAGAAATATGTCTTATGCTAATAAGACTAATCATCTGGGCAATAGATCCAGACTATGACAAACCTCCTCCGATATATTTTAAATCAACAGGAAAAGTTCACAGCACGCTTACAGAAAAATGGGTCGCATTCAACGAACCAAAAAATAAATTAAAAACATTACGACAAATATTGAAAGATATAACACAAGTATATGGATTCACTGAAAATGTAACACACGATTCAACATGCATAATTTACGGGGAATTATTCGATCATGGCAAAACAGCATACATAATAAAGGATGACAATAAACAAAAACATTACGAAAATTTGTTTATAGATCGTGAAACAATAGGATACAAAATAAAAAAAGAAAAAACTAGAAAAGACAAAATAATAGTG